TAGATAAATAATAAATAAAAATATATAAAACAATAAAGAAATAATAAATAAAGCAATAATAAATTCTGAAAATTGTTAATTAGTTATTATGAAATCGGGTCGACTCCGTCACCCCGACCCGCCGTTCGAAATCCCCGAGGATCCAATCGGGTCCCTACCCCGATCGGATGATGACCCCGATGACCCGATTGGTAAACGGATCCGATTTTGTGGACCCGATACCCGATGACCAGAATCCTTGAGTGATCCCAATACAACCCCAAACCTCACAACCCAAACCTCCAAACCCATTCCTCCAACAAAAGTTGTCTATTTCCATGAACCAAGCACAATACAAACAAAACTACAGAACAAAATTTACACCCGTTTCTTATTGTCATTCTCAGTCGGAAAAGCACAAACAAAACGTTTCAATTGATTCATATCCTGCCACGGGTTAGTAGCGGGCGAGCTCTCCTCAGACACCAAACGAGCTGAAGCCCCTTCGGGATTGAGCACTTTCGCCAACTGTAAGTAATAGTGGGCTGTATGACGTCTTGACCAACCCACGTGGTCCATAATCTCAGCAATGTCAGCACCTTTAAGAGCCAACGTTATTGCGCAGCCTGCACGGAAACCATGCAAAGTTTCACCCCCATCCTCACCCATATCTTTGAGGTATACTTTCAGACGAGCCTCAGCAGTAGATGAACTCAAAGGTAAGTCCTGAATAGTACCCTGTGGAGTCGTAGGGCGGAACAGGAAACCCCGCGTAAGATCCACCTTAAGCTGACGAGCCACTTCCAGGTATTGTTCAATACCACTTATAGGACAAATGACCGTCTGAGGATTACGACGAATTCCGAACACATTTTGGTCCCCATCCCTTAGGGTCTTCCCCCACACATGGTTAAACAAGAAACCATCATCATTAGGAAAACGAAGAATCTCCGGCACCTTAACCTGCCCGAGATCTCCACCACGATCCCCACTGAAGAACATTGTCTTAAAGTATGCTTGATCACGCGCTAGTATAAAACGCTGGACCGGATCCTTCACGCGCTCTAGTTCTCTCTGAATATATCCCGCTAATTTCACTAATTTATCAACGAAGAAAGGTGTCGCTTGCTTGGGCGTTACACGTGCCTGCAGCTGCTCAGCCGTCACTAGTCGAAGAAAATCTTTCACTAACTTGTCCGACGCAGGGTTTCCCAGGCCTAGACGTCTGTCCCACTCACCATCCCTTCCCAGAGAGTGAAAAATCGAGCGTAATTTCCCTATATATGAATCCACTGTCTTGTAAGACAACCTCATCGGGCATCCGCACTCAAAGCGACCCCTCTGTCCCAAGTACCCACAGCTATTGCGATGTACTTGTGTTTTACCATCCTTGTCTTTATAGACCAAGAACCGACATAGATCACGTGGTGTTACCGTTACCAATGACACCTGACCAGGAAGACCGGCCAGGAATGAACATAACTCTCGTCTAAGAGAATCCTTTTGCTTCGAATACTTCGTCACCTGATCATAATTTTCCAACTGTCTCAAACGATCGTCAATTTCCACCAAATTAATTGTCAACTTTTCCTCCGGACCACAAGTTGTCAAATATAGTCCAAAATTACATTGTATTATTTCTTGGTTCATATCACGGTAACCAAATCAAGAAAAGGAAATGCGAAAAGCCCAAAGATCCCCGGGTAGACCCGGATGAGAGCACCAACCATGCCTCGAGGGGCACACCAAAGCCTGCGTATCCCCTTTCGCTGCGATCTTGTAAGACCTGACCGCCCATTTCTGAACAAGGGGCCACCAATACTTCCGTGGGTATATATCAAGGATCATCATAGTACACGATTGGCGGAAACCCTGAAGGAAGCGTAGTAAAGGTCCCACCAAGACCATTGGAGGGAACACATATGGATTACGCATTATGGCGCCAAACCTAGTCAGGTCCTGAGCAAAAACATTAGCACCCAAAGACTCCGGAGAGGGATGGGGAGTAAAATGCGGCAATGACTCTCCTCGGTTATTCTTCATTACGTTAGAGTCTAGCGCCATCAAATCACAAGAATGACCATGTAATCCACCTAGACACGCCTCAACTCGTTTCCAAGCCTCTTCACCCAGTCTAGAGTCCGCCATAGATATCCTCCGAGACGGCAAATCAGCCGGATTCTCACTAGAGGGAACATACGACAAGCGCAACAATCTCCTTTGTGAATAACCTCGCAGCAGGTACCACCAAGGAGAAAGAAATACATTTCCCTACCAAGCGCTGAAGCGTTTTGACACCAACAAATTTCCCATCTAAGACCTCACGCACCAATCGGACGAACTTTTCCTGTTTCTCAGGAATTAAATGGAAAACCTCATTTCCTGAGTCCACCAGAAATCCTAAGTACCGGACAACCTTCATCGGTTCAACTACTGACTTAGCAAGGCCCAGAAAATAACCCAACTTTACAAGGTGATACGCCACTATAAACAAAGCTGACTTGGCAGCTGCCTTATTACGTTCACCCTTATTATTCAAAACAGCATAGGCCTCCTGATCCAAGGGTACCTGCAACTGACCATTATGACGGTCATCAATATACAGCAGGCAAGGTATACCAATCGACCGGAAAAAATTGGAAGCCACCAATCCCACATTATGATAGATATAGGGAGAAATCTTCCAGCCGAAAGGTAAGGTATTATAGGTAAAATACCATCCACCCCACTGTATACCAAAGTACGTCCTACTCTCCTCCTCAAGCAAAATATGGTCGTAGCCAGACTTATCGTCTAAAACGGTCTGGTAGCTATCCTTCGACACATACCGAGGAAGATCCCTCACATTGTCCAGTGAAAAAAGGCCTATCCTGCATCCAGAGATTCAAAAACCTCGCATCATGACACAACCGAGGTTTGGAAGGTTCTACCGTTAGAGGGAGTACTAGGTGTGGGCGCTCCACCAATCCAACCTTTCCAACTAATGAAATTGCACCCGTCTTCAAGCGGTCTAACAGGGTAGATTGAATAAACTGAATAAAGGCTTTGCACGACAAGTTATTCCTAAATGCCCTGGTAGGTGGCCGATCACAATCGTACCCTTCCCCTTTAAAAGTACCCTTAAAATGTTGCATAAATGGAAAAATTGAAACTTTATCATGAATCCAAGTCCGGACATCTGCTTGAATCTGATCCGCCGATGTATCCAGTATTTCATCCCAATAACGAGCACATTGATGCAACTCTCCCGCCCGGAAACACTTGGGGTCTCGGAAGACTAGGTGATCAATGTCCCCAATAGCAGCCCCATGCTGTACTTTTCCCACCAGCTTTCCAAGATCTTCATTCGCTGTTACCCCTCCGCTGACCACAACGGGGTTCCCCTTTGCGTTTACCCAGTTCACAGGGTTTAATAGAATTTCTCTGAGCATTTCTTTGTCAAAATTTTCATCCATTTCCCAAGACCATATCAAGTTCTCCTGAAAAGAAGGAGATCCATATTAAAAGAAATCAAACCCCGTTTCCGCCAGCGGAGAAGTAACAGCACTGACCCAGTATGACCAGGAGGGTTATTTAGAAACCCCGTTTTCAGAGCAATTACCAATCCGAGACGAAATATCAAATTTGTCTTATATCTTCACAAATCCCTCTATACCCAATACATCCGAGAGTTCTGTCTTCAACGGATAGGTCACAGCCATCTAGGCACCTGAAGGGAATAGAATGTCCGGCACCAATCACTTTTTATATCCTAACATCAACGTAAAACAAGTACTCAAGGCATTTCAAAAGCATTTAATCATATTTATCAAATAAATAACTTCATATTCCATTTAATCAATATCGTATAACAGTCCACAGTCATTCATTAACATCAAAATATATTTTCATTTAGACGAAGACTGTTCCCCTTTGCCTTTGAGATCGGCCATTCTCTTGTAACAATTCGCCCTGAAGTGACCAGGCCTCTTGCAATAAAAGCACTGCGCTCCTTGGCTGGTGCGAGTACTTTTCCCTCTCGCGTCACTTTGTCGATCCGACCTCGTTCGTTCTTTCTGACGTGCGCTCTTTTCGACCTTTGCTACTGCGTCAAATACCCTTTCGTGGTCTTTGTCGCCAACAAGACGTAAGAGCAAACTACGGAACATCTCATTAGACAAGTCCACCTTGCCTCGCGCTGTCTGATATACCAGCCGGTAGTAGGCCTCTTTCTCGTGTTTGCCATCATGTGCCACATTTTGTAAAGCCTCTATCAACTCCAAGGCATCGAAGTTTTTGAACTCAGTCAATGGCCTTGTCGCATACGCCATGAATTTCCGTAACTGGTTCTCTACCGACAAGTGTGTAATAGTATTCACTGACTCTTTGAGTTGTCGTAACTCTCTCTTAACGTCCTAAACAAAAACAAGACAAGTCTTTCAGGACATGCTATTATTTCGTACACTCATAGCAGAATATAGACCTTTCTGCCAACAATTTGCACGCAGTTGACCCCCCACATCAAATTCAACTAAATCTTTTTTTTAAACCAAACAATGTTCCCCTCGCAGGGACAAACTCGCATACCTAGGTTCCTTTAAGCTATCTTGCCAAAGAAATCAGTAACTTAGCGCCAAAATAAACAACTACGGTCATTCTTTGCACCATCATTCCAAAGAAATCATTCCATAGTAAATTAGCGCTAAAATACACAACTACGGTCATTCTTTGAACCAACAGGAGCCAAAGAAATCATTCCATAGTAAATTAGCGCTATAAATACACACCCACGGTCATTCTTTGAACCAACACGCCAAAGAAATCATTCCATAGTAACTAGCGCTAAAAATACACAACTACGGTCATTCTTTGAACCAACAGGAGCCAAAGAAATCATTCCATAGTAAATTAGCGCTATAAATACACACCCACGGTCATTCTTTGAACCAACACGCCAAAGAAATCATTCCATAGTAACTAGCGCTAAAAATACACAACTACGGTCATTCTTTGAACCAACAGGAGCCAAAGAAATCATTCCATAGTTAATTAGCGTCAAAATACACAACTACGGTCATTCTTTGCACCAACCCGCCAAAGAACTCATTCCATAGCAAGTTAGCGCTAAAATACACAACTACGGTCATTCTTTGAACCAACACGCCAAAGAAATCATTCCCATAATAACTAGCGCTAAAAACTACACAACTACGGTCATTCCA